TGTAAATATTACACAGCTAATTAATTCAAAAAATATAATTATTGAAATGATGATTTAAATGTATTATTGCTATAATTATATCAATATATCTATTAAATATTATTATGTTTGTTTATTTTTACCATTCGAACATGTTTATTTGGCGTGTACCGAATTGGTTGCCGTTTAAAAAAGGTATTTTATTGAGTTAAGCTGAATAGGTTCCCGTTTAATTATGCTCATTTTCCTTTTCAATTTTACAATATAAGGACTGTCAACTTAAACAGTTTTTAAGTTCGTCTGTAACTAAATTTAATTTAATATAATTCAATGTTTGTTAATTTAATTTAATTTTTTTACTATGGGTAACCCGCGAAAACATAGGCTATTGGTGTGGGGTGGTACGGTAGGGAGTTTTTTGTATGGGTCTAGTAGGTTTTTTGTTGGTAGGGTGGTAAAACGTGTTTGTGTATGTGTTGCTAAAAACCAGCGTGCTTACACATCCGGGAGCTAACAGTGTCAGCCAGTACGTAAATACTCAGAGCGTTTCTGCAGATTGAGCGTACGAACGAGCCTCATCAAATTATTGTTAATTTTATTGTCTACGCTATAGAGTGTAGGTACATTGATATTTTGTACCGATTATACATACATATGAAAATATTTTGCAAAAGAATTCTTAAAAACGAAAATAGTAAGTAACTATTTTACCGGAACACAAACATTAATCGATCCGACTTAAGTTAATTAGTATCTTTTTAAACGGGAACCAATTCAATATGACTTCCGTTTATTTCTAATAACATTTTATACATTATTTAGATCTAGTACAATAGTATAAACAACAAAATAGCTATGTACAGAGGCCTCTAATGGAGTGTACAAATACACATTAATACTGTACAGCCGCCAGCCGGTATTATATCACAGCATTGTAAAAATATATGATTATATTATTATTTTTTTTTAAAAACTTTTTGGGTTTAAGACCTTGGAATATGTTATTGATGGGGAGGAGGAGACTACTGTGAAAATCCTGATTCTCCTATGTGTGTGTCCGCTCGTGGTGACTCTTAACGGCGGTCGGTCAATTTGCTCAGTTCGGCTTTGACGTACTCACCGCGCTAAGAGTAACACTTTGACCAGCCTGCAAAATCTGATCGTCTGATATGATTATAGAATTGTAAGCAAAAGTGGCCCTCGACATTAGCGACTAGTGGATATTTTTACACAGTGGCTACTAAATATGTACCAAAAAAAGCGAGACAAATTTTAATTACTCATTAATAACCGGCCCTCTACCTGTCAATGTAGAGAGCCACTGTTTTTCTGAAATAGCGTCACTAGCTGCGTCACTGTCGAGGGTCACTTTTGCTGAAAACTACTATAGTGTTAAGTGTCGAGAAAGCCACGTCCGTAAAGATTTTGAGTCTCAACGGTTGAATTCATAGATCCGACTTGTCCTATGTAAACGCGACGAACTCAATGGACGAGAGCAAATTCTATTCTGACCACGCTGTTCGTCTCATGAGCGAGTGACGAAATACATGTTGTTTTATTTTTCACCGAGTCGTCCACGTTCAGGTAGGAAAAATCAAGTAGGTACCTGTTACATGTATCGGATCATTCGGATGAATGCTCAATGCTTATAAGCCCAGGAAAAGGAAATCGCTCATTAAAAAGATCCCGAGTTCATTCTATTTACTAACAAAAGTCAAAAAGGACCCAATTGTTCTGTGTACATAATTTTCAAAAAAATACTATAAGACTTATATACACTATATACTTAATTTATTCGGAATAAGTAGTAAAAACCCATTATTAATGTATTGATACTTTTTACAGTCCAACAGCAGAACATACAGGACTGTGCCAAAACTATACGTCCGAATTCGAAGATACTATTGGTATGAAAATCTATAGATAGATAGATACTATTGTAAAAATACTAGAAATAACAAATATAATACAAATAATAGCATTTTAGTAATAATGAGAATAAGAATAATAATAAAAAGGAGAAGAATAAGAAGATAAATGAGATTTCATGCATTATTTACATTAACTGACCCTCTGTTCGTTGTCGGACCCCCCGCCGTTGAAATCGTGAAGATATAATCGCTTATGACCTTTTCACATTTCCTACCTGCCCCAGTGTCTCTACACACTATACAGCTCTTCATTGGTGACATTGGTGGTGGCAACCTTATTGACGGGTAGTTGGAACAGCTATGCTAGAAGGTCGTAGTGGGGGATGCACATTAACCATATGTATACTGACAACCCACTAAGGGCGCTTATTCTGCATTGAGAATTGAATTAAAGTAGACACAGTTAGTTACACGTCCAACGGATATTCCGATATTTTTACTCAAAAAACGAAAACCGACCAGATTTCCACGTTCTACGGTTCTTCACTCAACATCATATAGTGACCACCATAGTTATCAATCTATCCACCGTGGTATTCTATTACATAACATTGTACTAGACTACGGTCACTACGGCTACTTGACGGGGACGACGGACATTCCGATACATTGACAGAAGTAAGTCACATTTTTTCAAAATTTTTATTTTCAACCATTTTGTCCTCACACTGCAGTCTTTGTGGTAAAATTATATCTTCTATTTGTATAGTGTCACCGCGGTAGTGCTAAATTGTTTCTGGTTGAATTTTAACGCTCTGCACACAGTGTGTGTGGTGGCCTATGTATGCATGAATACTATAATATCATATTAGCTAATAGCTGTCATTAAATTCAATGTATAAATAATATGTATAGATTATTCTTATAATATAAATTTTTAAAGTAGTTTAAAAAATGTATAGAAATTACTTAATTATAGTTATTTTTGTAAATGGGTTTGAATTTTAAATATTGGCAAAATTACTTGAAAAATCATAAAAATTTGAAAATTAGTTTATAGTTAAAAATTAATAATTGCACTTAATAACTGTTTGAATATTTAATACAAGGTTCCTCATAAGCCGTGTTGTTCTTACATTAACTTAAAAAAATTAAGTTATAATAATGTAGTGTTTCGCTAACCAATTACTATTTACTATAAGTAATTTAATTATCAGTAATAAGTAATAACTAATAATTAATTTTATATAAAAACAAAAAAAGTGAAATATGCAAATTTAAAAATATATATGTGTTTCAAGTAGGTTACACTACGATAACAATAAACTTAGTTGGTGAATTTTTTAACTTTTTCAGGCATTATTTATTTTTTTAAGTCATATTACAATAAGTCTTTATTAAATGGGTAACGAAAAAAAAATATAAATTCAATTCTGTACTAAAACAATATTGTTTATCTGGTTTTTAAATAAAACGATACATAAATTTATCTTAATGACACAAACTCCAATTTTATAGATAGCCGAATTATCTATGTTTTCTTATCGTACGATAACATTGTTTCGGTAGTATGCGTTTTTGAAAAATAAATATACTATAGATGTACGAGGGTAACGGTGTATACCCTAGCACTACTTTACTGATTAAGTAGTTCAATTCTAGAGATACCATGGTATGTGCGTGTATACACGAGCGGATCACTGTAGCTAGGTCCAGGCTCCATACGCGTATGCGCTCACTATAATCTACTATCAACATACCTTATCAAATATTAATACGAGTGATGATAGTTATTATCATTAAGACACTAATACAGAGGTATTCAAACTGTACGTCACGGCTCCCCGGAGCGTCGCGGGAGTTGTCGAAGGGAGCCGCTTAGTATAATTGAAAACCAATAAATACTTTTACGAAAAACGTTTGCTATTATCATTGAGGCACACCGGTTGGGAAACGTTGAATTGTCTACAACAATCATTCGCTAAATATAGCTTTAATTTTTTTTATGTGTGTAATATGGTAAATAAATAATAAGTATAAATTATAAAATATATATTACATTCATATAAACATTGTTTTTTTGTATTTTATAATTTTTGAGCCGTCAACATTTTGTAAAGACCATATAAGGTGCCGTGGGATGAAAAAGTTTGAATACCTCTGCACTAATAAGTAATAAAATAAAATCATATACTATGAATGGAGCCACAGCGTATTATATCAATACAACAATTAATATGTTGCCGATATCAGCGACGAGTCACCGAATTTGGTATTCGATGTACGCATACGAAACGCAACATCTCGCATATTTGTCCACAGATAATTTGTTATCAAATCACCATATTGATTATATATGAATAATTATGCTATTATCGAACACCTAATTATTCGAAGACTCGTCGCTAATTTCAGCAACAAAATAATACGCATGGCTCCATCTATAGTATATGACCTAAGCTTATAACTAATAAGTATTTAGGTCTAACGTCAATACTTAATATAGTCGTACTAATATAAATTTATGTCGTATACATATTATAATATATTACGCTGGATTATTTTGAAATTTTTACATTATTATACAGTACTATAATATGAATAATCGGATATAATATATATACATACATAGGTAACGAGCTGAATTATCCGGCTTCGCCAGTGTGTAGTGTTACGGGTAAAAGTCGAAATCGGGCAAACCTCAGAAATGCCCGGGCAAAACGCGAACTGCCCACAATCCTTGGGCAAAATGTCATATTTCGGCTTTTGACCGGGCAAACCTAGTTATGACCGACCTAATTTGGGCAAAACCGTATATTGACTTATTGTAATGGCAAAACCGTAGTGTCTTATATACGTTCGATAATATTAAATATAAATAATTGTAAAATAAATATTATTATACAAATATAATTGAATAAACTTAATTAATACATTTAAACCTCACTTGAGCCAAACTGTAGTGTTTATAATAACCACATATAAAAAAATAATAATCATAAAATATTGTACAGATATAATTGAATACACTTAAATAATAATAAAGATATAATGATATTACGTACTCTTATAATGTTAAAATAAAAATTATTTATAAAAAATATTGTACAGATATAATTGAGTATAATAATAAAAAAATAATATATTTGTTTATTTGTTGCTACACATATTAGAATCATGGCATTTAGAACTACACAAAATATTTTGTTGCTTACATTTGCATCGTCTTGTAGTGCACTTAGTTTTGCAAGAACAAAAAATAAACCCTTGTCCTCCAGTTAATGCATTTTGAGTACTAGCAGTCCTCAGTGGTATTTCGATATTTGGTACATCATTGCTACTAATAAATTGTTCCTTGCATTGAAATATTTGGTTTCTGACATAAAGTGATGACAAAATTCCATTTTTGGTTCCCATTTTATAGAATCCATCATCAGTAACACTTAATATAACACCTAACACATTAATAGCATCGACTTTTCCTCTATCAACACAAGGCACTGGAATTTTCACTGTCGTTTCGACTGTTAGAGGTGGAAATAGATTTTCACTCAGTAATTTCATTTTTTTTGCTTGCGCAACTAATCCATCAGTAGCCTTTTCCCGTGCTTTTTTAAATTTTTTCATTTTCATTTAAAACCTCCATTTCATTTTCATTTTCAATTAATACCTCCATTTAATTTTCATTTCCATTTAATACATCCATTTCATTTTCATTTTCTGCAAATTGAAGTAAGTCATTTTCGTCATTTACATTATTAATTATATCATTGAGTAAAAATGACATTTTTAATCCAAGACTAACTTTTTTCCAAACATAGGTTCATATGGAGGTTGTTTGATGCCAGCATGATAAGCACTATTTTTGGCAAATTGACAAAATCTTAATCCTTCACTCCACTTCCTAGACTGATTTTCTTCCATCCAAGATTTTTTCGATGTCCTGGTTAGCTCTCTCAACACTCCCCTGGCTTTGCGAATGACGTGGCTTCCCGTGCACAATTTTTAAACCATCCCACATTAGAACTAAATCATTTATAATATGATTTACACACTCTCTATCATTGTCTGATTGTAGTATGCACGGAGCTCCAAATATACAAAAAATATCTATAAGATTGTATGCAACCTCGCTTGCAGTTTTTGTTTTTAAAGGTCGTAAAGAAACAAACTTAGTAAAATGGTCTTGGTAAACCAAGATAAATTTAAAATCACCATCTTTATTACTTTTCATATCTATCAGATCGACCTGTGCACGAGAGTTAAAAGTTTTAGATAAAATTGGTTTTATTACTAAACCTTTTTTGGGATGAGAGTGTTTTTTATTACATATTTCACATAACTGTAAATATAATAAAATTATATCCCTGGTAATATTTTTGTATTTTTGTTTTATTGAATGCTCCATTCGGTTTCGACCACCATGACCACAATTTATATGAGCCGTGTGTAATATATCGAACATTTCATTGCATTTTACAAAATAAATGTCAGCATTGGTTTTACTTGGTGGAACTATTAACTTTTTAGACTCACCGATTGTGAGTACGTCAAATCTATTTAGTCTCCTGTATTCGTTCGTTGTTTTCTTCGAATTGACTTCGCTTGTTCTACCTCTTTTATGAGTTCATCATATCTTGTTAGAGCACTGCATTCACTTTTTGCAATTTCTTTAAGTTTTAATTCAAATTTAGTTTTAAAATCAGACACACACATTTCGTTAGCCATTGCTAAAGACGTACAAAAATTTGCTCACAAAAATACGAACTACAGTAGGTGTATTTTATGTACCTTTAATATAGGTAACGAGTTGATAAAATACGATAAATTAACAAGATACGTGGGGTCATTTATAATCGTAATAAATTCGTACGACAAAAATGACTATTTAATATTATCGAACGTATATAAGACACTACGGTTTTGCCATTACGATAAAAGTCAGTACACAGTTTTGCCCAAATTAGGTTGGTCATAACTAGGTTTGCTCGGTCAAAAGCCGAAATATGACATTTTGCCAAAGAATTGTGGGCAGTTCGCGTTATTTCTGAGGTTTGCCCGATTTCGACTTTTGCCCGTAACATATAGATTGATATGACAAGATGTGCATTGACAATAACACATTTTGTACCTATTCTAATAGACAACAACAATTATTTCAAATGGAGCAACAATTACCTAAGGTCAACATTATATTAAATATTACCCCTATTTTTGATGTAATACTAAGTATTAACTTATTGACAATATAATAACAATGATTATTAGTAATTTTAAGCATTTAACTACCTATAACACCTCAGTTAATATATTTTTATAAGGTAAGGTCTTATCAATAGCAAAGTACAAGCTTATACTTGATTCATTCTAATTTTACCCAGTGGTTTTTTAATTTGTAGATCTATTATACAAGTATAATAAATTATAAAAATGAATTTTTCAATTCTATCCTACAATTTTAAAAAACCCATGTAATTTAATGTACAATGTTATTTTGTTTCGTATTACAATTTTAAACAACATAATATATTAATGGTTCTTTTAAAAAAATATCAAGTTAATTTAAATGTCTGGGGACATATATAATAAATATAATATTTATTTATTCAGCTAAAACAATTAGGTACAATCAAATAATTACAATACAATACATAAAATTAACATCAGCGTTACTTATAGGCACATAGCATACGATATAGATTAAAGATTGTAATTACAATTTTAATTAATAAATATAATTTATAATATCATATTGTAAATTGTAATATCGGATATCTCCCGAACAATTTTTGGACAAGTGCTTATCATCACTTGTATTAATAATTGATAAGGTACCTATGTTGATAGAAGCACAGAACAAATAGAACGGAATCTTATTTCATTTAACATGGGCTCTTACGGGAGATGATAAAACTACGTCCGACATTTCTAGATTTTAAACGTGTTGCCACGTACCGGGAATTTCTCTTTTTTTCTTTATATCGTGCAACACTGTTCGTTCAAATTTTTAATATATTATTATATTCAAATAATCAAACCACGATTATAGATAGTACTATCTATAATCGTGAATCAAACCGATTTATAATCTATGTTATCTATGGTTGCCCATGTGTTGTTGTTGTTATGAGTGGAATTGCTGACTAACCGTGTAGCCACAAACCACAGAAAACTTTAAAAAAAGGGAATTTCTCGGTATGTGGCAGCACGTTTAAAATTCAGAAATGTCGGACGGTTTTTCGATGAGCCTTAAGATTCCCTTCTGTTTGTTCTGTGATAGAAGCTTATTGTTTCTCGTATGCGTGTGGGGAGCCAGGAATGAGCTGCAGAGATCCGCTCGTGTTTATGCGTATGCGTATACCTTCAAAAGTATTCAATGACAAAGTAAAATTAAACAAAAATTACTTTCAAAAAAATGTTTATCTGTTTATTTGAAGGCTATATCTCATTAAGTTAATAATGATTAATGATGGTTGGTGAGTGTCGACTGGTGAGCTAGGTTTATCTCGTGTAAAAATAAAATGATTTGCACCACTGGTCCCGAGGAAAAAAAGGTAGTAAGGTAAGGTCCCAGATTCAAACGAACTTACCTATCTGTCGACATTTTGACCAACTACCTTTTTTTTCCCTGGAACCAAATCAACAAAGAAAAGGCCATTGTTAAATACATATTTATTTTTATTAAATATTTATATTATTTTTATTATTAACAATATTATAATAACCCTTAATGAATTAAAACAATTACTCTCTCAAAAATTGGAGATTATCCACTATTCAAGAGTTTTACTATATAATATAATTATAATATTACTTCGTCATAATATTATGCATATATTTTAACTTGGAACATTTTATACATTTTTAACTACAAAAGAATAAGAACATTTTCAATTCGATACAATTTGTCAAATTTGTACTTCAAATGCATAAGTAGATATAAAAAAATTGTGTTTATGCATTTTAATATTTTTAAAACACTACCTATTGTAACAATGCTAAGGAACCTCGTATTAAAATCAAGCTTTTAGACCGAAAGATAAAAATTTTATCTACATTTATACACCAAAAACTAGAAAAAATGAAAATTTCAAATGTCTGTAAACAGCTTAAAACGTGTCGAAATATTTTTATAATCTTCCAAGTATAGAAAGGTATAAAAAAAAACATTTGGTTTGAATCTCAAGTAACCTAACCTACAGTTAATACTTTTTGAATTTAAATAAAATAAGAAAATCGTTCTTTGATAATTTATTAATTTATGGGTGAATAATGAATATCCGATGCCCAAAAAAAATCCAACTCAATTCAATTTGACTTTTTTGTTTTGAATTTATTGAATTTTCAATTTAAGATTTAAAAAAAGAAGTTATGAATTTCTAATTCAAAATAATCTACACAGTTTTTTAATTTTCTTTAACAAAAATGTATAATTTTGATTAATTTTGATTAACTTTGTTGTGGCATTTTTAAAAAGGATAATATTTTGTATGCGCTGTATGTTAGGTGTCTAGAAGGCAGCTGTAATCGATGGTATTAAATTTGAATTCAATGATATCATATCATCGAATTCAAATGTAATACCATCGATTACAGCTACCTTCTAGACACCTAACATACGGCAGAACGACATCCACTTACCAGCTTTTTACTTTTTAATTTGTAAGTAGATTATAATATTATCCTTTTTAAAATTGCCACAACAAAGTTAATCAAAATTATAATGAGTTATTATTATAACGACAGCCCGTAAGTTAAATTAATTCTATTCATACTATTACTCTTAAATTATTAGCGATACTGGAAAAATATTATGTATACTTATGTAAAATTGTGCTGTTTTTGAACCGAATTACAACAAAATGACAAAAATCGTTATTCTTTGTGTTAATATGTAATTTTGTCCAAATTTGAACTTAAAATGTCTGTAAAACATAACTGTATTTATATTATTTTAAGATTTTTTAGTTACGGAAAAAACTGTTTAAGTAGAACCTTGTTTTGAATGTTCGATCCTTAGCCATAAAAATTGAAAATTTTATACATTTTTAACTACAAAATCATTTTTCAATTTGATAAATGTTGTCAACATTTATATACATTATACATGCATTTTTAATGTTTTTCAACATTTTTTGCTATTGTAACAACATATTAAGAATCTTATATTAGATTTTCATGTTATTTTACTCAATCAGTACAATTTACAAGGCTGTGAATTTAATGCACTTAAAAAGTATAAAATATGCTTACATATAAACACTAAAAAAATAACAAAATATGCTCTAAAAATTCTTAAAATATGCTCTAATTTTTCAAAAAAACCACAACAATTTAACTTTTATATTTAATTTGTTCATTATAATTTTTTTTATTAATTTTAGTTACATATTTTTTGTTACATATTGATGTGAGTATATGAATTATTGGCTTACTAGTCTTGATCTTCGTTGTAGACTAGTAGGTATACAAGATCTATAAAAGAAATAAACTTATTAAAATAGATTATGTTTCTGCTTAAAATCACATTTTACCTTTAAAGTAGTACAATCTATCATTTCTTTTGATTTTAAACTTGAAAGACCTAATGTTTGATGCCAACATAGTTTTATGTAAAGAAAAGAAACGTCCTATGTCCCATGAAGTTATTGGGGCTAACTTGAAATACGTCATGTCGTTACCTACGTTCTATTTTTCCCCTGCAGTTAATATTTTTGAAATATTACCCATACTTTGAAATCTTTTGTTTTTGTTGAGAACTGTTTGTTATTTTTTATTAATAGTAGTAATAGTTGTATCTGTTATTTAACTTTATCGAGATATCTTGTACAATTTCAGTCAATATTACACGTTAAATGCCGAGAAAAAATAGAATAGTTTCCATGAAACTATAGAAGTCATAGTTAATACAAATACATTTAATATTTTAATGTCAATTTAGAACAAATTGCCCGAAAAAATGTATATATTATTACTAAAAAAAGCATTTATACACAAAAAAAATTATTAAAACATGCATTTTTATGCCCTAACCCATAAAATATTCAAAAATATGCGAAATAGGATTTTTTATTTAAACTATAAATATAAGTCAAAATAAATTTTGGCCAAATCCATTTAATTATACAGTGTAGCAAAAAAACCTGACAATTTAATTAAAATTTATATTTAAAAAAAATGGAAATAGAAAATGTCCGTTAACAGTTAAAAACAAGTCAAAATATTTTGAAAATATTAGGTATCAAGAATATATGAATTAATGAAATAAACATATGGTGTACATTTCAAGTGTCTACACTTATTCGTTTTTGAATTACAACAAAACAATAAAGTCGCTACATTAGAAATCGAGTAAACATCCAATATTGTAAACAATTCAACTTCAATCACCCATAAAAATTTAATTTGACTTTACGGTCAATTTTTTTTTTTTGATAAAGGTAGAAAACTTATAAGCAATTTTGTATTAAATTTTTAAATCTTAGATGTAAAAAGAAAATTTTTTATGTGATTCTAACTTAAAATAATTTGTTAATTTTTGTGATTTTTACAAATGTTGTAAAAATTCTAAATTTAAATACTCGTAAAAAAATATTGTGGATTTAAGCTCATTTTTTCCCCATTAACAACAACTAGCGAGAAATCTTGTACTACATTTTCGAGTTTTTTTACTTAGCGAAACATTTTTGATCGACAGTAGTTTAGAAAAACAAATAATAATCGAAAATTGCACATGCCTAAATGATTCAACAAGAGTTAAAATATTTTGAATTAATTTTATGGTGTATAGAAAATTCTAACACAAACATTCAGTGAAACATGTATCTACGGTCATTTTTTTAGAGTTACATCAAATACCAAAATCGATTTTTTTTTAAAACTGGTTTTTCATAAAAATTCTGGGTTTTCCTTAATTATTTTGTTTGTTTTTAATGCTGCTTTTGAAAACTATTAGACATTTTAGGTTTTGACCTCCCGAATGCACCAACTAGATTCATTTTCCTACCAGAAGAGTTGCTGTTGAACAAAATCTAAGCACTTTTACGTCCCCAAACCGTGATGACAGTGACGAACATAAAAAATAAAAAAACACACATCATTGTGAAATCAATACATTCACATCTCCGCTCAGAATCTAAAATAATCCATGTACAGAAAATCAAATTGTGCAAGACTACTCATTAGCTTAAGAGTGATATGTACGCACTGTGAATGTTTTACATACCTAGTTACTTTACAAAACTAATAAAGAAAAACATACAAATGTATTCAATTTCTGGCTCTGTATGACTATATAGCTTATGAAATGTGTTACTTTATACTATTATGGAACTATTATAGGATCATTTAAACTTTAAATATATTACAGTAATTACATATTATTATAACATTATATTTTCGATTGTTGATATAACAGGCACACAGCATTGGCTTGGATTCCAATTTGAAATTCAAATCTTCAAGTAACCACTTTGTTCTAACAAAACAACCTCTAACTGGTAAATACACAAAATAAAATTATAAATTATAAATTTTAAACATTTTATACTTTTACATTGTCAAACACTAATATTATTATGTTATTTGATATATATTCTAGAAAATTCAATTATTTTCGCGTTACATATCACACCAAAAGAAATACTTGTGACAACGTCTGTAGAAACACCAACGTTTACAACATGAGCGACCAAGCTGGTAGCAGTCAACATTACATGGTTAAGAAACCATTTGAATGCGATTTATGTGACAAGTCGTACATACATCTCAGTAGTCTGAGAACCCACCAGCGAATACACACGGGTGAGCGACCATATGTATGCGATATTTGTGGTAGGGCTTTCACAAAAAATTATTATATGGTTGTACATCGGCGGTCACATACGGGTGAGCAGCCTCATGCATGTCACATATGTGTAAAGAGGTTTTCCTATAGAGCCACACTGAAGAGACACCAAAAGATACATACAGAACCCAGACCAGAATTTCCATGTCACCAGTGTTTTATGTCGTTTTACACCAGAGGAGAACTGGATGTACACCGCTTTAACCGTCACGATATTCTAAGACCTTTCTTGTGTGAAATATGTGACAGTTCATTTATACATAGGAGTTCTCTGAGGAGACATCGGTTGGTGCACGAGCGTGAGCGACCGTACCTGTGCGACAGGTGTGAAATGACGTTTTCCACCAAACTGAATCTGCAGAAGCACCGGCGGACGCACACAGGTAGAAGACCATATAATTGTGACTTTTGTCACTTTTCGTGTACACGTAGACGAGATCTCGATGCTCACATGATTGTAAACTCGGGTAATCAGACTCTTAATCCATTAAATGAGTCATTGTTGGATAATGGTGGAACTCTAGAATCACTGGACTCAATACTGGACGAAATAGTAAACTATGCCTTCCCAAATGAAGCAACCTAAATCTATCTAGTCATAAGAAAAATAGTTAAGACTGATAATATGATTATATAATGGAGCTCATTGAGTGTGATATAGTATTATAATGTGTATAATATTTTTTGTATTTTTTTAAAAAATGTTATGAACTTTTTTAAATTGTATTTTTTTTTTGTGAAATAAACTGCATGCTTCAAAATTAAATTTTCAAAAAAAAAAATGTCTTCCACTTACCATTGACCTTAATAGTATTCTTACTTGAGGATGGTTACCTGTTGGTATATTATATTTCACCATAATTATGTACATAAACTTAATGGCATTTAGTTAATGATCATTTCTTCAGGTGTTCAGATAATATAATAATTAAGATTAAAGATTAACGAATTTTGATTTTCCCTCGAAAAAATTATTCATTTATTTGTGATAAAAATAGGTTAAGTAATAATAAAAAAATTGGAATTTTTTTAATAAATAAAAAAAACTGTTGAAATTAAACTTATTAATTAATATTATTAAATGTATATAACTATTATTTGTACTTTATAAGAAATTGTTGGAGAAATAAAACGAATTATTCCCAATACTGAAGAATTATTTGAATTAGAAGATAAACAATAAACCTAATATAGGTGAAATTATAAAAACAAAAATGTATATACCTAAGATACTTAATTCTTTAAACAATAATTTTAAGCCATCATCTATAAGGTGAAAAACACCCGTAAGATAAATTGTGTTAGGACCTTTACGTAATTTAATATAACCTATAACGTTGAGCTCTAATAAAGTAAAAAATATATAAACTATTAAAAATAAAAATAAATATAAAAATTACTATTATTATTATTAAAATTGTATAATTAAATTCAAAATTTAACACAGCTATCTTATAAATATAAAGAAATAAAACTTATTTTTTAATACATCCATGACAGTGATGTATGAGCTATTTAAAATAACTAAAAGTGAACATTAAATTAATTAATTATTTAATCAATTAAAAACAGGTTTCTTTAATATAACTAAAATACCACCAATTCTGTTAAATTTAATGAACATTACTACTTTTCAGTAAATTAATTAAAAATGTTATGATAATAGGTATTTATATAATCCTAATTTTAAATGAAATTTTATAGAATAAAATAACTGTAATAATAACTTTGAAATTAGTTTAATTTTAATTAAGCCATAGATTTAAAAAAAATTTTTTATTTTACTTAAATAATAATAACAAAACTATTTTATTTGTATATTATGTTTAACCGCAACTGCTGGCACATATTTAGTTTATACTTAAATTAATAATTAAATCTAAATTTATTTAATATTTATTATTGGCATTTTAAAAGTTGTGTAAGAAATTATTAACAATAAAAAATGTCATGTACTATTTTATTCAATACAATTTTATAATAAAATAATAGAATTGATATGGTTTTATAATATTATTAAAATATATAATATTTATAATTTATTTTAATAAATAATTAAATTCATAAATAAACGTAAAAATTAAAATCAACAATTATTAACTTTCCAAAAATGGTCACCATATTATGATATAGATGCAGCTATAGGCACAAATAGGATTTGTGATTTGGGGTGGCTGAAGCCCTAGTTACAGAATGAAGCAATTATGCAAGTAATTGAAACTTAATATTTTTTTAAGAAAACATACAGGTAGGTATACCGTATTCGGCATAGTTAATTACCTACGATATTGACGGAAAATAAAATGTACGAAACATTTTTTCTAATGTATAATGTATTATTTCATCTACTTGACTAGGTACTTATAATAGTTGTCAAAATTATATTTATAATATATAATAAACATTATACACCATATAAGACGTAACTTCTGGAAAACAATAAGAATTATTGATACTTGAGTATAGCTTTATGGCAACAAGTCAGTAGTAGCAACAAAATAATATAAGTTCAGAACAAATTTTTATTTAAAGCTGTTATCTTCTGTTGGTTTTAGCAAATATGTTTAATGTTATTTCAGTACCTACTGTAATATCTTTTTCGACATTCCATACCTATTGCTAAATTCGTAAGTCAGCAGTGAGCCATGTTAGCTCTGACATTATGTGTTTATCCTTCTCATAGATGAAAAGGACCTTTCAAATGTGGTTGAGCTCTCAGCTCACTAGTAATGTGATTGCCACTTATATAATTTTAAATAAATTAGAAAATACTTCGAAATTTAGATGTATTTTGATATTTATAGCCCGTATAAAATAAGTTTAATAGTCAAATGTTAAAGCTATATGAGCCACAACCATAGACTATGTAATAAAAATGCTTAGTAATCTAATTTCTTGGTATAGGTATTACGGTTATGGTTATTGCAAGCCTACAAAATATGTATAATAATAGTAAAAATAACACCACGATAAATAAAATTTGTTCATTTGCGAATTACTTATTCTAAAAAAATACGAATTTTGCATCATGAACTATAATATTGCCAAAAAAGCTTAAACAAATTTAGGAAATGTTTGAGGGGCTTATCCCCTCAGGCCCCCCTATTTGTGGCTATGGGTAAATTTGTTGTCGAAACATGTTGATATAGGTACATGTTGTCGATGGCAAAAATGTTCAACTATATTTTTGAATTTTATATTATAGAGTTTTATAACATTGTTGTTAATGGAGAAAACAAATTAATTTGACTAAACATTTTAAAATTTTAAAATTCACAAGAAAAATAGATTAGGTCTCTACAAAATGAATGACGTATTTGGAAATCGTTTCAAGTTCGAAGTTTTGTGCGCAGCAATGGCTTATTAAGTCATGTTTGTAGGGGGGGGGGGATAAATACATTTATATAAATTATAATAATATATACAATTGTATGTTCATAGATAATAATATATGACTAAAAAGTATAAATTATAAATATTTATAAATATTGAATATAATAAATGGGCAACATAAGAGGCTACACCTATGTTGTTTTCCGTCGGCATCAGTTATGACACAGGGTAATTGTAATTCGTTAATTCATAGTATTGTAGATTAGGCTACCTTTATTACTTTAATACTATGTGCCATACATAATAAATTTACAGCGGATTGGTGTCTACACTCAGTTAGGTACTTTCGTAAAGCTGAGTGTACACACCGGCTGCAGTCTCTAGTTCCCGGATGGGTGACCATCCGGAATTTTTAGCAACAAAATCCAGGCCACACGTTTAATACTTATTCAAACCGATCGTTTAACCCTTTCATCAGCTAATGGCCATAGTTCCTGGTCTTTAGATCAATAAAAATATTATAAAGTGCGTGATTTAATCTATATATCAAAAAAATTAATTATATAAATAAATAAACAAATGTCAAATAATAATAATTATCATTAATTTATTAACCACAAACCAATAATTATACATTCATTGTAAACTCTTGGACGTTTCTATGAACTATGATACCCATCTAATATTTCATGAAGCAACGAAATTATAAATAAATGGTTTGTATATAATCAAACATTTAACTTAAGTGTAAAATAAGTTAAAAAAAAGTAAAGAGTTATTTAACTTAGTTAATATTAACTTGACGTTGTACCTTAATTTTAATTTTTAACTCGTTAATGACCAGCCTTGCATATTAAAAGTTTTCGTTAAAAGAGCCGCATCCACTTTGGGGAAAAATATGTTGCTATTTGACATTGAGACATTGCTGGTTTCGTGTTATTTAAATTTCCGAAATAATGAAAAAAAGGAACATACAAATTTGTTGGCGGTTGGTTACCTACTGATTTATTAAAACATAATGTTAAAGAATATTTTTGTACCATAACAAATATGTAATACACATAGGTATAATTTGAATACAAAAATTATAAGAATTTTTTATGCATAAAGAAATAAGAACCTACTTATTTATAAAAAGGTACATATTTATTAAAGTTTTGGAAACAAAGAATTAATCAATGGAAAGGAAGGCCATACAATGTCAGAATCTTACTAACTAAAACTGCTCAAATGTTATATTATTTAGGTTAACATTTTATCAATTCGTTGTTTTTAAATATCACTTAAAAGTTTGGACTAAGTTATCTGGTAGTTTTATTATTGCTAGATTTTAAATTAATATTCATGTGCGCATGTGCCAGATTGTATAATTTGTTATGGTAATTTATAAAATTGTGTTTGTACACCTATCTGTTTTGCATTGATCTTTATTGAAATTCTGAAATAATGTATTCAACACTTCGATGGTCAATAATTTAGTATTTACATTTAGTAAAGAACATTTAAAACACATGTTAATAACCGTTTCCGTTTATTTGAATTTTTTCAATATCTTTCTTTTTTGTCTTTCTATAAAAACAATAATAATATTATGCACAAAACAAAATATATTGTGAATCTATGTAGTGGTTTCTGGTTTATAGTATATATTAGTAACAACAATAAAACTATTAAAGCACTAAAAGTTACTTTTAAAATCCAATTATTAAAATTTAATTTAAGCACATTACCTGTGTCCCTGTGTTACTTGGCGATTTTATGATATTTTATTTTTGATGTAAGTTACGAGAGTGTGAAATATACTTTCAGTCATTACAATTTAAAAATGTTTATAAATTGTATAAAAATTAAAATATCTTGAAATATTCACCAATAGTTCACTGATTAACATCAGATCACTTTATCTTATGCTAGATACAATTCCTGCATTAATCGTAATATATAGAATATACTGCCATATTGGTACTCAAAATTAATTTTAATAATTACTGACTTTACATTATATATGAGTGTATATTATAATACTGCCATGCAAATACATGAAATCATTAAGCAAATGATTATTGATTTCCAATCTCCCTTTTTATGACTACAGTACGTATTTTTTTGATTCTTTAGTATAATATATAATTTTTAATTATTATTTAATTTCATACTTAGTGTTTTTTTTTCAAACGCATATATTTTTAATACTATACTTTACTTTTGGACACTAACTTGGACATTAACATTATTTATTATATATTGTATAAT